TCTTAACCGTTTTCCATTAATCGTAAGAAGTACAAGTTCAATGCAGATAGCGAGCGCATGGTCCAGAAATGTTCTCAATTGTCTGATATACATACTCCAGCAAATCTTATACATATTAGGTTTGTGATAAAAATTGTAATGTTAAAGTTGTGACTGTAATTCGCATTAGAGTACTAGAGGAACGCAGAGGGAATATGCTACTCAACTCGTATCTAATTTCATGGAATAAATGAATATTTCTTACAGTATTTGGTTTAGGAAAACGAAATACATCGATTCCAATTTTTAAAAGCTCATGTTATGAATAATTTTATCTAATATTGTACTTCTTACATATTTGCAAGGCAATCGTATGGTGATGATGCATAGTATCATGTGAAATATGTCCCGAACATGCTAAAAGCAATACATAGTGTGGCATATATTTATTTCCCTGGGCACTCTGATCCACAGCATTCCTGGGGGTCTTTATCGATCTGTTTTTACATTCTCGGACGATACAATAACGATAATATTTTGTTCATGTAAACTTGTAGAAGTCATACAAATGCTTAAACCTTTGGGAGGTTATGCTGCTGTCAGATGCTGTTTACAAATGGTATGACGTCAGAGTACATGAATATGGGTCAAACAAGGCGGACAGCGTTTCCGCCTGTTTAGTATATTTTTAAATTAAAGTTTTACGGAAAGGAACGGTACAGCTGCTGGTCAAAATTCTCAATGGGCACAAAGCTCGAGACACTCATCTTCAAGAAGTATGAAGCCTCAAAAGTGTACCTTTTTTGGCACAAGGAAATAAGAAATTGACGTATGGTAGATGTCTAGAGCATGCATCATATACACTATTATTATATCGTTTCAAATACTCGAGAAACATAGTAGATCATACAAGGTTACAACTTAAATAATACTCCTTAGTCTTAGTTGAATCTAGAATTTGCTGTGGGATACTGAGCTGTGGAATACTGAAAATAATGGCCAATAGAAAATCATGTATCCAACCAACAAACTATTCTTTGAAACCGGAACCTTAGACATCAGACAACTGTTTGTGCATCATATTGTCCAACCTATCTACAAAAGCAAACTTTCTTATAGAATCAGCCATCAATACAATACAAGACCAAGTGGGAATAAAAACACAGCTACATAAACCCAACATAATACGATGTCATACCTATTTATCATGTAAAATTTATAATTGCTTACCAAACAGGTATATATCGAACATACGGCGTGGCACAAAAGTCCCGAAACGGCTTGACCTTCACCTTCAAGGTTAATTCAGGGTCAACTCCATTTTTCAAACCGTTATCCCTATTTTTGATGCCGGCAATCGGAAGAACAGAAAAGGTTATGTTCAAACACAATTAAAGTCCAAGGATCACTGCTGAAGGGCGAATGAAGATCAAATGTGTGCTGGTAGAAAAACCTTGATGATTCTCACAGGATGAGTGATCAAAATAACTACCAAGGTCAGTACTTTAGTAAATTTTAACGAGGCAGTGAAAGCTAATCTTGTGTTTGACCTTGACCTTCACCTTCAAGGTTATTTCAAAGTCAACTTAATTTTTAATCGAAATCCCCATTTGATGCCGGTAATCGGAATAGCAAAACATTTTCAATAGGTACAAATACGAATTGAAGACTAATATCACGATGACCACTAAAGGTCAAATGGAGGTCAAATTAATGTGTGCTGTTAGGAAAACCACGATGAATCTTACAGGATTAGTGACTATCAAGGTCTGTTCTTTAGGAAATTTTGACGAGAGATCTAGGATTTGACCTTGAACCCCACCTTTAAGGTCATTTCAATGTCATTGAAGGAACAATATCGGTTAAAAATCATTTGTAACGAGCACTGTAGTTCCTAGTTGGAACTTACCCAAAGTCAACTTAAGTTTTTTGAAGGAAACCCATCTTTGATGCGGGTAATTTTACATTCGCGTATGTATTTAAATCCAAGATCAAGATGACCGCCGGAGGTCAAATAGGTTAAACAGAGGTCAAATATGCGCTGCTAGGAAAATCTCTGTAAGTCACGCAGAGATAGTGACGAAACAAGGCAATCGTTACAAATGATTCTTAACCGATACTGTTCAGAATTTCATGTAAATCCAGAAAAGGGTTTATTAACCATTCCTTAATTAAAGAGAGCTGCAAAGCCTTGTCATAAAAATGTTAACAACCATCCCTGCATAAAAGCAAATAATGCAGTGTTCATAGAGTAATTTATGGGGACTATGATGTGCACCTAGTTTATGAAACGAATGAGAAACACTTTTTATGGTGCCGTCACCGTATATACGAGTAGCTTTGTTTATCATAAAGGCCCGTTTCAACAGCTAATTGTATTGACGAGAGGACATTATTTGCCAAATATATATTTTCCTCTTTTTATCGGGGCATAAATTCATAATGCCGCAGTGCACTGGCTGTGTTTACGTTGCACTTCAAAATAACGTGTTGCTTGATTTACTGTTATCTTTTACGTATTTTAAGCGGTAGTTACATGTTACGTGATAAGGTCATCTGCTGATGGAGAATGTATGTGGCCGCACATACGGACAGATGTGTTATAGGTACACGATAAAACTGCTTCTAACGACAAAGCATGAAGAAAAATCTCATGATTTGCGTAAAAAGTACTACTGATTTTTATGTGCAATAGCACAAAGCCAAAGTTTCCCGATATCTGATGTAGCACAAGAAACTGTTTAAAAAGCCATTTTCGAAAGCCAAGATTATATCGGTCAAACAATTTATATATTAAGGAACGAGGGATTCTTGATAGTAGGCAACTTTATTTCTTATATGCCACCACCTTATACCATAAACATTGTAATGAACAAAATTCCTATAAGCACGAGTATAACACACGATTTCGGATAGGTTCATCTACAGGGTGGCCAATATACAGGGTGTTCCTTAATGATATGCGAATATTTAAGGGTGTGAATCTACATGAAAAATTAATGTTAGTTTGCTTTATAAACTATGGTCCAAAAATGTTTCCTTACTTGGTACGGTTCGAACTGTTCGTACACCGGAAAATATCGAGAGAGTTCGTGAAGTTGTAGTGGCGCGCCCTGAGACGTCTACCAGACATCGTTCTCAAGAACAAGGTGGAGCTACGGGCAAAAAACGTAAAAACAAAAATCGCTCAAATTTCAGATGCTCTTGTTCATTTTCAGAAAAAAAAAATTTGTAGGATTGAAAGGCAAGGAGTTGGGATGGACGAGGATATATGTCAATCTTTTGGTACTGGTAATTCTACGACACGTTTGACACCTAGGTTAGTAGGGCAGGGGAGAAATTCCTAGACCGCAACGTTGTCAAATGGTTGGACACTATACAGGGTGTCCGAAAAGTTGGGGTTTTCCTTTTCAAAAACAACTACCCTTGAAATAACAAAGGTAATGTGTAGTGAAACGAGGGCGACCAAGTAAAAAAAAATAAAGGAAAAAGTACTCACTCTCCAGTTGACGTGAAGGGCTAAGTACGTCTCTGCCCGAAATCATACTGCTCCAACAGAAAATGAAATCAGCTGATGCGCTACCGAGCAGACGCAGGGGGTGGTGCAGACCACGAACAGAGGTAACAAATATGACGGCGTTGCCGCGTTTTCAGTTTTTTGGATAAACGTACTTTATAGGTATTGTTCCAAGTTATCGCCGTTTGATTCAAAAACACAGGTGCGTGCACGACGTAGCCAAGCATCGGTGCAGGCTTTGAGAATGGAGTCCCTCCCCCGAATGAAAGCATCAGCTTGTTCAATTCTGAGACGAAGTTCGTCAACCGTATGCACTTCAGTTTTGTACACTAAGCGTTTCATTTCTCCCCAAAGAAAAAAATCACATGGTGTTAAGTCTGGAGATCGCGGAGGCCACGCTACGGGTCCATTACGTCCGATCCACCTATTCGGAAATAATTCATTCAAAAACTCACGCACTTCGCGTCTAAAATGGGGCGGTGCACCATCGTGCAGAAACCACATTGATTGTCTTACACTTAATGGCACATCTTCTAACAAGGAAGACAAAATGTTGCGTAAAAAGTCTAGGTATTGCATCCCGTCCAATCGATTTGGGAGAATAAATGGTCCAATGAGCATACCGTTCACCATGCCAGCCCAAACATTCACCGAAAATGTTTGTTGAAAATGTGCCCGACGGACAGCGTGCGGATTTTCTACTGACCAAACATGAGTGTTGCGAAAGTTATTCACCCCATTACGCGTGAACGTAGATTCGTCTGTCACCAATATGCACTTCAAAGAGTCCGGATTATTGTCATGTTGATGCAACAACCACTCACAAAACCGCACTCTTGCTGGAAAATCGTCAGGTTGAAGGGCTTGTACACGTTGGACGTGAAACGGATACAGCCCCTCTTCACGTAGCGTTTGACACACTTTAGTTTTTGATACTTGCACTTCTCTAGCCACGTCTCTAGTGCTTGTTGAGGGATTCTCGTCTACGCGATTTCCTCTACACGCGTGACCGTAACCGTCGGTTGAAGGTTGCATACTGACCTGACACACTGACCCCGACCCAGTTCTGTCGTCGGGTTGAGCCAGTGACCTTGTACCACTCGGTTATGTCGCGGGTCGCGGCTACAGGACGGTATTCAGATATTTTTGATATTGCAGAGCCCTTTATCACGGTTACCTTAAGACATTGGTGTATATGGTACTAAGAAAAATTGCTTATGTTTTCAAGATCTACACGTCGTGTAAAGGAAAATCCCAACTTTGCGGACACCCTGTATACGAATTCTTGCTTGATAGACTTGATCTATTTAAAGCCTTCTATACATGCTAGTAGCTAACTTTTTCTGAGAGGGGCTAAACTTGTGGCAAACATAATCTTTGATGTCAGCGTTGCGCGTAGAGTCAACGTACCAAATCGCATTTATCTCCCTCGATGATTTTTCAAACCTAGTAGTGGTTATTATTTCTACAAGCAGTAGGTGGAAAAACTTTTAGATCTACTTACCGAACACTGAATCGTTGTCTAGTAGATTTCTTTTCACATCGCTAACTTCGGTGCCACCACTGACCACAGACGGGGGTACTGAAGTCCTTGGTGGTTTTGTGACAGGGTTTACGTCCGTTATCAAGCCCTGTAACAATATGTTTAACCTTGAAATTCCTCTTTCCAAGTATGCTCATGCGACGTACTGGGGAAAACCCGAGGAAAGCTCAATTCCCTTAGCATATCGGCAGAAGAGAGCCAAATCAATTACCATCCGCTTATGGGAAAGAGGCGTAAGGACGTCTGTAATGGCGTAACACGACGTAGTCGGATTGTTCCTTGTTCTCCACTGAACCTCATCAAGTATGGATAGTGCTGTCGAGACAGCAGCTCCCCAAACGCCCGGAAATCGTTCAGGCTTTACCTCAGTTTTTACGGAGTCGCGCTGGTGCTGAAATGTACTTCCTAAGCATGAACAGATACTCCAGCTTCAACAGCGAGACGTGTTTGAACGAAATCAATTTCTCAACAAGTCTAACCTAAGTTTGAACAAATAGCTTCTTGGTGAATTTTGCTCGTCAATTAATATCAGATGTTGGCTTGAGCGACTCTTATTTGCAAAAGTGTTATCCAAAGTTTAAAGAAGCATTAAAGCATACTCTCAGGCTCCCAAGCAATGATAACTTCCAGATCTTTCATCGAAAAAGAAGCCATTACCCAACTTCATAGCCCCAACTCATCGAGACAGATCAGATATGAATGGTATGGGTAAATAACAGGGAATTTCCTAATAAATTAATTTTGAGAAAAAAGTATATTACTTTTATTGAGAACATAGTATGCAGTAACTTTTACCTAGAACTAATTAAATGTTTTGTATCTAATACAATTTTGTTGTTGACATAGGACCTTTTAATTATTAAACATATTTAAATTGTAATTTTAAACCGTAATGACTCAATCTTCCTTTAATGAGTTCATATCAGTAAAATCTTTTTCCTTAACCTCTGATGCAATTTTTTTACAATTTTCATGCTTTTATCTTTGATCTGTTGGGTTTATGCTTTTTTGCAGATATTCAACCTTTTCTGTGATAATTCCATGAAGTGCAATGCATGCTAAACATACAGGCACATCTTTTATAACATTATTGTTGATATCCTTACCTTTTACCCTCACTTTATAACTGTGTATGCAACTGTATGAAAATTAGTCTCATCTTCAAACTTCCTGCTTGTTCTTCGTTTCATATTATAAACATTTATAATGCCTGACAAATATAAGTTCTGCTCATTGACACTAACCAATGAATTGAAATATTTAATAATGTTTCTTTGATTATTTCCATTTATATTCTTAAAACTTTTGGACAATTACACGGTGCCCCTTGTTCATGAGAAGAAAGTTGCAATTTTTTAATTACACCTTCGTTTTCTACCAGTTTTCTTTCTTTTCTTTGTTGATTTGTTAATAATACTCTAATTATTTTCATCATTATCTGAATCAGAAGATATATTCAACTTCAAATTATTATACCGCAAACTTTATATAATATATATATATATATATATATATATATATATATATATACAGGGTGGCGCATCGAAAACGAAACAGTCGCATTTACTGGCAACTCAGTTTTTTTTGGAAAAACACTCAGACCCGTCGATTTTGTTTTCGAGGGGGACACAAGTTTGGAAAAAAATCACGTTAACACGTGCACCCCCCTGGGCGGGTGTGACACCAACCCTAAAATCTTAAATGGAAAGGGGGTCGAGTGATACCTTATTTTAAAGGTCTTTCAATTCCCTTTATAATGATGTAAAATACATGAGCTTCAGTTCAATAGTTTTGAAGATTTATTGATTTAAAGCTTAAAGTAGACTTTAATAGGTACATCAGATTAGTTTGTACTACTTTCAGAAGAAATTTGACTAAAATAATTTACTTGATAAGTAAAAGGATATAGTGTGAGATCTAAACTTACAATTAAATCAAAACAAATGGAAGTCATTTAAAAGTATACGTTAAAACTTTGCGGATCTTTAATCATTAAAGTATGATATTCTTCTCCATATTTCTTTCTTAGGTTATTGATATCATGTATCCATTTCTTCTTTTTCCTTAAACATAATTATTAATTATTATTAACTAATGATTATCATCAAATTACTTCTTTTTTGCATTTTATCTTCTGCTAAGGCCAATAATGATAATAGTTCTTCGTCACCAGAAGACATATTGAATAGGAAATCAAAAAACGTTTGAGAATATCGCGCCATATTCTCAAAGGTGTCAAAGAGTGAGTATTTTGTTGATAACCACTAGTTAATAATAATTGCGTTCAAGGAAAAAGAAGGAATGGATACTTGATACCGAAAAACAAAGAAAGATATATGGAGAACATCATACCTTAATTCCAGAATTATTTAGAGATCCACAACGTTTTTACGTATCTTTTCGAATGACTTCCGCTTGTTTTGATGAAATCTTAAATTTAATGTGATGCCACACTTTATCCATTTTCCTGCAAATTTTATAGTCTTCGAGACTTAAATCGTACAGTATTGGGTACTTCATAGCTTGTTCAATTAATTTCTCCATTGTGGACATCGTGAAAAACGTGGCGATATGCGATACAAACCGCGTCAGCAGCGTTTTTGAAATGAAACGCTGTCAAGGCGATAAACCGCGCTGGTGTGATCGGTGTTATTTACCGCTCTGAAGACTGAGCCCCGCATGGACAGTGGTACGTTTATCGCTATCGCCTTACCGCGTCGGTGTGGGGGATCCTTTAAGGTGATATACGATGTTCGACCTTAGCGGCTAGCGCGCATGCGCATGTCACGCACATTTAAAAATCAACGCAGTGATTATTTTGCGATTCACCGTTGCCGTGAAGCACCTAGTTCCCGAAGTAGTGATCACGTTACGCTTTTTCACGGTACTTGGTGACAGTCGTGATTCGTGATTTAGTAATATCAGCTATTAAATCATAGTTCGTAAAATATCTGCCATCAATATTATGTTAAAAGGGAGGACACTTACATAAAAACAGTGTTAAAACTGAAATCAATCTTCCGGAACACCCCAGCTGATATTAATATCAACTAAAACGCGTACCTTGACACTGAAAAGACAAAGCGCAGTCTGGTACCAAAATGGAAGAGAGTAGCATAAAGCATTGTACGCTACTACTAAGGCGTGTCTACATTTGGTTTACCACGTGTTGTGCTACTCTCTTCCATTTGAGTGTCCGGGTATAGATCCAAGCTAAATATAATCAATCTAACAAGTGTTTTACCTTTTTGATATCAGCATGCCCTCCACTCATGTTGATATACTCTTCGCTACTATCGTTGTGTTCCTGTCCCCTATTCTTCCCGGGTTGTCCCCTTGGCGGCCGTTTGCACATACAAAATGCCACCAACAGGAGTGCGAGCAGTACGACTAGGAACCCAAGTGACAGACCCACGATCCAGTATACGCTGTTCGACACTGAACCCGGTACTATCCCGCCGCTGGTACCTGCTGGTATCAGTACCGTGATGTTCCTCTCGTCCTCGCCGCCTGGGTTCTTGGCGATGCACTTGTAGTCGCCGCGGTCCCTGAAAATTAAACGCAATTTTTGAGTCCTTCATATATGTATAAAAAATGAATGAGTCAAGGAGATTCTCGGTATTTTCTACGCAAACTTTTAGGTTACGAATACGGAAGCTTTAAGCATCATTAGTGATAATAAATATGATGTACAATAAGATTAATAGTTCAGAAACGATTATAAATTCTTTTTTTTTGCTTAAAAATTATCATAACTAGAAAAAACACCTAAAAACGAAGATGCACTTGCGGGTGCCGCGGGTCCCTGAAAATCGAACGCAATTTTTGAGTTCTTCATATATAAAAAAATAAATTGTCGGTATTTTCTACGCAAAATTTTAGGAATATGGAAGCTCTAAGCATCATTAGTGATAATAAATATGATATATAATAGGATTAATAGTTCAGAAACGATTATAAATTATTTTGTTTGCTTAAAAATTATCATAACTAGAAAAAACATCTAAAAACGAAGATGCACTTGCGGGTGTCGCGGTCCCTAAAAATCAAACGCAATTTTTGAGTTCTTTTTCTCTAAGCCCTAAACGGACCAGATTAATAACATACGAGTAGTTGATAAACGATTAGACATTTTTTTTCTTTGCCTAAAAATTATCATAACTAGAAAAACACCTAAAAATGAAGTTTAGGGTTATATGGAATTTTTAGTTTTCCGTTTTCTCATCACTGGAATAATTTCTAAAACCTTCAGAGCTCTTTCTCCCCTGGCATATACTTACAAAAACCGAGCAGTATCTCCCGAGTTATCACATACGTGTCACGTAACATCAAAATGTTTCTCAATAGAAAACGGGTGGACCATAATAATAACTGGCTTATATGTCCGTAAATTTAATATTTACGTGGATTTGAAGCATGCAATGTTGAGGTCACACATCTCTTTTTCAACAATCTATTTGAGAGAGTATTCTTAGTATTTTTCGTCTGATTGTTTCATGGTGTGTATAGAGATGATCGATAAGCAACAATATCAGTGTTTTTGTCAAAAAGCGTATTTACGTAGTTTTTTAACAATCGTTACTTTTTGCTTTAGAATTGTATGAGTATATTCCACATTTCTTATAGATCATTGTAAGTATTTAATTTTTTGCTTACGTTCCCTTTCCTTCAAAAAAGCTTTGCTTTTCTTGAACACATTTGCTCATTCAAGAAAAACGAAGCTTTTTGAAAATAAAATGATAATAAAGCAATTACACAAATCTACTATAAATGTGTTAACAAGTTGCGATTGTTATAAAAAATGCATGAAAATGCATTTTTGCCAAACAAAAATGCTTTTCGGCGAAAATGTTCTCGGTTGAATTCCATTTTTCTAATGACACTTAAAAATTCACTGTAGTGTATATAGTATTGTTGTTAAACTTTGAATTTAAGTTTACTAAAGAGTGAGGTTAAGATTCAGTACTGACGTTCGATCCGCGCGGCCTACTATGTTTCTATACGCAAAACTTAAAATACATCCCTTGTATCTCTCCGTATCAAGATGGACAGTGTAGTCGATGCTTTAGGCCTTCAGAAACGAGATCAGTACTCTAAGCAAGACTCATCTGGGTCTCGTGTATAGTGGGAAGATTGGAATATGAAACGTAGTTCTTAGCTCTCAACCTAAATGATAACTTCCAGAATTCTGACTGAGTGACTTATTGGTAAATGTCATTCATGGATGCTCATCTGGGGGCCTCCAGTGTATAGTATCGTGTCCCAGAAGAAAATTGAACTGCTTTATACTCCTAAGACTCTAAGAAGTAATGATATTCATGTTCAAGAGAGCAGTCTTCTTTCCATTTTATCCCCAGAGATCTCAATCCGTAGATGATATTTATCGTTTCTTGAAAGGTACTCAAAATGGCGCAGAATCAACGTTGTAGACAAAACTGATCCCTGAGGAATGCTGACGTTGGTTTAGAGAAACGAAGGGAAGATACATTGACTGCAATTTTCATCAAAATACTAGAGAAACTAGAGAGTAAGTCCACTACCTACCTACACAGCGTCTAAGGGAGATTGTAGAAGTACGCAGTAGGTTAAAGAAAGTTTTGGTAATATCAACAACAACGACATGAACCTCTCCAAGCGGTTTGATAGGATTAGATGGCGTAAGGTAGGAGGAAAGAGTTGTTTCAAAATCTCAGAATCCTCCATTTGTCATAAAAACAGACCTTAAAAGTAATATGAAACACAGACTCCAGTACTATACATTTTTAAATTGTCAAAGCATTCAAAAATCTAATTATTACACTTTTCAGCCTTACCTGTAGTTAACATTCACTATCGTCAAATTATTCCACGTATAACCATCTATAGTGGTTTTCCTCGCAATAACATACTTCTGCCTATTTTTTCTTGGATCTCTTTCTACAATCATCCCGCCGTTTGTCCAATCAACATCAGGAGTGGGATCACCAGTCACCTTGCAGGTCAATGTGACGTTAGCTGAATTTGCTTCTATCTGTGTTAGTGGAACTGGTTCTAGAAAAAAAGAAGCACATATTAAATTAATCTACTTTCGTTATTAGAGACTATGTGTTTACTTATGTTTAAAAAAAAGTAATGATACCACCCATGTAGTAGCTATTGACAACGATAATGTAAAGATAGGGGTCTACAAAGGAATTTACACTCGTTACATATTTTTATATATATCTTATAATATAAATCAAGTAAGATGTATTATGAAGTCCTATCAATTAGACAGAACTTACTATACAAATTATTTGACATAAATATTAAAAAGTAAAAAAAATAACTAAAAGAAAAAATACATTTACGAACACAAGATTTTATTTAGTTGTTAATAAAGTTTTAAAATATTTTTTCCTTTTAGAAATATGCAGTTTTATGCTGCTTAACTTTTTAACGATAATGAAGAGCATTTGCCTGAAGTTTTCAAATAAAAACGTCCTGCTATATAATCTGACACGCTTTTATTTAAAAACTTGAGACGCAGGAGCTTCGATTATCGTTAAAATATTAAGAAGCATAAAATGGCATATTTCCAATCGAAGCTCATTTTTTTATTTTTAGTTTATTTTATTAATAACTAAACAGAAGCTACTTTTAAAAATGTATTGTGTCTTTCATTTATTTAAATTGTGTATTACGGCTTTGTGATGTCCGTTTGGTGATCTGGTTGGTATCAACCACACATTTACTTTTGGCGTCTTTGCTTCTGGGGCCGATGAAACTAACAATGAAACGCGCTGCTACCAGAATGGATTTTGGAGGATTAAGAAGTTAAAAAAAAATAGTTTTAAGCAAACCATAACCTTCTTCTGACGAAAGTATACAACTAAAGTGATACTGAAATATTAAGTCATATCAGTATAATGTGCATCCTCCAATAAAAATAGAAATAGCATCTAGAACCTTCCAAAAAGAATCTATTTTGTTACTGGATTGCAATAAAAATTGGCTTACCAATGATTTGCGGAGCACATGCAAACACTACGTTGTCCTGCCAAGCTCTGCCTTTCAGCTTTGGCGGACTATCACAGTCAGTTCGCGTTGTGATTAGGCTATTCTTTATGGCACTTTGTCGGAATTCCTGTAGATGGCAGTCGCAGATCCAAGGATTGCCTGCAAGAAAAAAGAAAGATTTATTCAATACGTCAACAGATTGTTTTAAAATTCGTCCTTCAATTTGACGACAAATTATACGAAAATGTTTACCGCAAAAGATCTACACGATTAGTGATGTCAGAAAATTAATTTTCTGATCAAAAAATGCAATGGCATTTTTTTCCCGAACTGGTAAATATAATACGCCTGGTTCAACGGGGAATTTTTGAACCTGTTTAGAGTTGAAACACACATTTATTCTCCTGTAAGTCTTGCCTAATTCATTTAGTCTGCAAGAAAATATCCTAAAATATACTAAGTGACATATAAATCCGAACACCCAGTTTAAATGGTTTTATTTTAATAAAATTTTGTATAAGTACTTAATGAAGCATAATAAGTAAATGATAAAAATTTCAAAATGATTGCATTGCTTTAAAGCCCTTTGACCTTTAATAATGTGTGGATGCACCTTGATGTGCTACGCATTCTCCAACGCGCCTAGGCATGCTTCTGATCAGGTGGTCAATGTCCTCCTGTGGTATCTCATTCCAGGCAACCACCAACTCCTCTCGAAGTGCTTCTAGAGTCTGAGGAGGATGTTGCAAATTGAGCAATCTCCTACCCATCATATCCCACACGTGCTCAATTGGGGATAAGTCGGGAGATCTTGGTGGCCATGGTAACAATGTGACATCATTATGTTGAAAGAAGTCTATTGTGACTCTTGCAACATGTGGTCGGGCATTATCTTGTTGGAAAGTTGGATCTGCCAGGGTGTCAAGATAGGGTAAAAGATGGGGTTCTAGAACTTCGTGGATATAACGCTGCGCGTTCATGTTACCTCTGATGAAGATTAAAGGTGACCTGGAACCATAAGCTATAGCACCCCAAACCATAACTCCAACAGTGTGATGAACATGTCTTTCAACAAAAAACTGTGGATTCCTCCTTTCACCACGTCGCCTTCTAACCCTGGCACGACCATCGTGCATGCCTAAACAAAATCGAGACTCGTCACTAAAGACAATACTGTTCCATTCCTGATCCCAGAGTGACCGTTGTCTGCACCACTCAAGGCGATTACGTCGGTGTTCTCGAGTTAAAGGGAGGACCCAGTGTGACCGGTATGAAAACAAGCCAAAACTTCTCATTCGTCGGTAAACACTTCGCATGCCAATAGGTCTTCCGTGTTCTGCAAACCATTCATTTGCAATGGACCTGGTAGTGGAGAAACGGTCCTTTAAGGCCAATAATCTTAGGCGGCGATCTTCACGGTCTGTTGTTCTACGGCGGCGTCCAGTGCCCGTTGCTCTTTGCGTACGGCCTTCTCGAAGCCATGCCTGACAACACCTAACCACAGTGTCTACACTTCTTTGGACCTAACTGCAATTGCCCGAAAAGAAAGTCCAGCTTCCCGAAGTCCCACTATACGGCCCCTATCAAACTCACTAAGTTGACGAAATCGTACAGGTCACCGTACTCTACTCATCGTAACCGACCGTAAAGGATGTCAAGAACCAAAATCCGCCAACGTTGATTCTTTACTGCGGCTGAAATATTCATTTTTAGAGCGTTAGTGAATTAAAAAAAAAAAGCAGTATAAAAACCGGAATGTCCACCTGATAAGGCTGAAAATTTTTTCACTTGTTCTTTACAGTAAGATAAATACATTCACCAACTTTTATTAAAATAAAACCATTTAAACTGGGTGTTCGGATTTATATGTCACTTAGTATAATTCGGGAAGAATGCAACATCTCAGCGTCTTGCCTGTTTCACGCTTCCCTCGTTTTATTGGGATACTTCTCATATTACTAATTAACAAAAAAGATTAGACGAAAAAAGCAATGATCTAAAAAGCTTATGGTTTTGTTTGGGCTGGATCATTTTTCTGTATAGTAGCAGCAATTCTCTCTGGAACAAGTACTCCGAGAAAACTTTAGATTTTCAAAAAATACCTCATAATCTTAAATTAAAACATTTGGGTCTCATTTTCAAATATTACGTCATCTAAAATTCCTCCACTACATTTCAATCTCACCTCCATCACACTCGACCTTTTGTTTCAAGTTAGTGATAATCCTTAAAGTATTGTAGTAAATTTTGCCATCGAGATGCTTTCACAGTCAAAAGTTGCAGTCCTCTTTCGAGCTAAGCAATCCAAGAAAGCGGCAACCAATGCAAAGTTAGAAAAATTTTAATTTTAAACTAATAATTATCTATCGATGGATGTGATCTTCAGGTGAACTGGCAAAGATGCTCCTTTTTTGACTATACCGTTTGATGGTTGTGACCGGTGGTTGGTTGTGAAGTATCCCTCGTTTTGGTCGGATGAGTGGTTCGACGTTTCTTAGAATCAGCTGCCATACATAATTTCAAAACTTGACTTATTTGATTTTTCTCCGATGCCAGCATGTTTCTTTGTGTAAGATCCTTAAATGATTCCTAAGGATTCTGTAGTGCTTTGTCCAAGCGTGATCTTACGGATAGTGGTCTTTTTGTTTCTCCTATGGTTCCTTGAAAATCTAGTTTCGATTTAGTATCGTCTTATTCTTCTGACTGCATCACTTATTCCCTCAATAGTAGAATTAGTGTATGCTGGGGTTCATGTCTCGTGTTTCTACTATTTATGGTGTTGTTTCCTTTCATTCATCAGTCGTCTTGGGTAGCTATTTCTTGTTAGATCTCCTTTGATGTTTCCTGTAGATTTCTTTGCGTGTTGCAGTTACTCTTTGACGGTTCTAATAATAGCCTTTCTTCGTACTTGCTGGATGACTAATTCAGGTATTGCCCTCTATGTGTTTTCTGTATACAGTAGTTTCTATTTTGGAATTGTTCTTTGTTACCATGATGTCCAAGAATGGGAGGCTGTTGTTATTTTCTTCCTGTCTACACTTTGTCGATGGCCTTAGATTATTTGGGTGTTCGAAGAAGGCTTGTAGTTTCTCTTCTCCATGGCTCCAGATTACGAAAGTGTCGTCCACATATCGAAGCCAAATCTTGGGCTAAGCATTAAGTTTTTAATGCCGATTTGGAAAGGGGGGAATTAAATATTCAAAAGGATATACCTTCTTTCTAGATTGAGTTTCTTTATATTATGGCTGCTACCTCAAGATCCTCATATTGAAAACTATGCTACAAACAGACCTGGTTTCAATAGTATGGTGCCACTTGCCACACTGCCAGGGTCCACATGGATCAAATTCGTGAACTGATTCCGGAAAGATCTAGTTTTAGTGCATCGATCACTAGTTTGGCCCCTTTCTGTGAAGATAGCTCAAGGACAAGATTTACATCGATATTCCGAGCGCTGTCGGCGACCAGCAAGAAAATATCATTCGCGAATCAAGCGAAATTGAACTTGCTATGCTTCAGTGCGTTATACAAAATGTGGTGGACAGATTCATGAGGGCAACGAAACGGAGGAAATCTAGACGACGTAATAATCAAAAACTGAAATACGTGTTCCTGGAGATTCATTTTTACAGTCCATCATGGAACGTATGGGTGTAAAAATGGTTCTTTGTCTTTGAAAAAACCGTATACGAGGGGTGTCCTTTAAGTTTTGCATATAGAAACATAGTAGGGCCGCGTGGATCGAACGTCAGTACTGAATCTTAACCTCACTCTTTACTAAACTTAAATTCAAAGTTTCACAACAATACGTGCGGTGTTCTCACAACAATGAATTTTTAAGTGTCACCAAGTCATTAGAAAAATGAAACTCAAGCGAGAACATTTTAGCGCCATAATTAATTTATTACAACAATTATCGCCACAAGAATGCCTTGCTGAGTTACTGTCTGCTTTCGGCAACGAAGCGCCACATCAGTCGACAATTTCCCGTTGGTATGGAGTATTCAAACGCGACGATCCCAGGCTGGGTGCAACAAAAACGGCAGAGACAGCGATTTTGAGGCGTCCTTGAAGATCTCAAAGACCTCAATTCACAAAATGTTACATGAAGAATTAGGAGTAAGAAAATTAGTTTCTCGTTGGATACCCCACCTGTTGACTGAAGAGCACAAAGCAGCCAGGGTTAATTCGTGTCAAAAAATGCTTGACCATTTCAATTCCGGAAACTCAAAAAATGTGTACAGCATTGTTAGTGGTGACGAATCGTGGATTTACTGTTATGAACCAGAAAATAAACGACAGTCGGCTGTTTGGGTGTTCCAAGGTGAAGAAGTGTTTCGAAAAAGATGGTCGCGAAACTTGTGTCAAAAGCGGGTCCTATTGCAACACTTCCACTAACTGAGCAAAGAACTGTTACTGCGGATTGGAATACCACCATTTGTTTGCCAAAAGTCATCACCGAGCTTCGAAAAATCAACCCCGAAAGAAGAATCATCCTCCACCAAGACAATGCAAGCTCGCACTTAGCCCAAAAAACAAGGCAGTATTTAACGGAACAAAACGTGGAATTATTTGATCATCCTCCATATAGTCCCGATCTAAGTCCTAACGACTTCTTTGTTTTCCGAAAATTAAAAACAGACTGCGTGGTCAAAGGTTCCAGTCACCAGAAGAAGCAGTTGATGCATTCAAAAATGCCGTCTTGGATCTGCCAGCAAACGAGCGGAATAAGTGCTTCGAAAATTGGTTCGAGCCCATGCAGATGTGTATTAATCTTCGTGGAGAATACTTCGAAAAACAATAAAGTCATTTAAAACTACCTACCGTGTTGTTTTATTTCCATATGCAAAACTTAAAAGACATCCCTCTTTCTATTACAGGTGATTATGGTTAGTCTCGAAGGATGAGAATTGCTGTAAAATTACTATTTGACATGGTCATTTCAAAAAACACCAAAAAAAATAACAGATTTTAAATTCACCAACTTCAAAAATGAGGTTAAGGGCGAATAAAGTATCAACTTTGTCTTACTCTCGGTTTGGCCGAAAAATCATTTATTTAGAATTTTTCTTGTTGTCTACGAAAACCATTGACCCAATATTTTTTTATATGTCTGAGAAAGTCCTTTCAATATACGCTAGATATTTAAAAAATGCACAACATCTATCTAGCTCAATAGATTTTTTTTATTGAAAATATAGAAATAAGCACGTGGGTTTTTCTACAACCGATTGCCGATTACTGTAGAAGACTGATCGAGTAAACCTATGGTTTTTCAAGAGCCCTATGGGAAGTAAAACGCGAAATTCTGTTTTCCTTCTTTGTGGGGCTTTCCTCTATGTAACTTAAAGATGGTAAAACATGCAAAATTAAAAAATCCGACATGTTAATTTTAAGTCGCACGTCAATATTTGAGTGTAATTTTCAATAACATTAAAAAAAATATAACAATAATAATAAACGTCTTTTACTGAGGGCCAAGTTTTGCTTCTGATTATCACTGATCAACAGCCAAAAAATATCCTAAATAAAATCAACAAAATATTACTATTTTTAATGTGCTAAAACCGGAATGAATCTTATTTTTTTAATATTAGTTCAAGTTTTAGAGATACGGTAATTATATGTGTTCCTGCTGTGACAGTGTTAATATACTGTAATTCACAAGAATGCACGTGGCAAGGAAAGATGGTGTAATCGGCATGATTGTGTTACGTTATACATACGTGTACATTATATTGTTTTATATTAGCCATTTTTTCCTCAGTTGGCTGACAGCGTTCATGCAAGATGTCTCGAAAGTGTGTAAACAATCCAGATCAGTTTTGTTACGTGTGTGGTGATGTGACTTTTGCGTCTCAGAGACGGTCTATTACTCCACTAATAACAAAGGCATATCAGCTTTATTTCGGTTGTCAACTAGGTGATCAAGACAAACAGTGGGCACCTCACATCTGCTGTAATACATGTGCTTCAAGTCTGAGGAGCTGGTTGAATGGCAAAAAACGGTCTATGCGCTTTGCTGTCCCAATGGTTTGGAGAGAGCCTACAAATCATATTAATGATTGTTACTTTTGCATGGTACCTTGTGTTGGACAAGCCACAGGTATGTCCAAGAAAAAAAAATCGGTTATTAACTACCCAAACATACCATCTGCGATGAGACCTGTGCCTCACAGTGACGAAAATCCTATTCCAAAACCCCCAGAATCCTACACTTGCGAATCAGAAAACGAATCAGATCATGGCGATCGAGTGATTCGTCAGGAAGAAGATATGCCATCAACGTCAAGAGATCCTGATTTTATACCGAGCACGTCATGCCACCAACCGCACAAAATAACACAGTCAGAATTAAATGATCTTGTAAGAGATTTAGAACTTCCAAAATGTAAGGCAGAGTTACTTGGATCAAGACTGCAGCAGTGGAACTTGTTAGAAGACGATGTTTCGGTATGTGTTTTTCGTAAACGCCACAAAGACTTATAACCATTTTTCAATATGGAGAATAACTTGGTTTTCTGCAGTAACATTAACGGCTTACTGGCGGCTTTAAATATAAACTATAACCCAGAAGAATGGAGATTGTTTATAGACAGTTCAACATTGAGTTTAAAGGCAGTGTTATTGCATATTGGAAATATTTTACCATCTCTTCCTGTAGGGTATGCAGTTCACATGAAAGAATCATATGACAATATGAAGTACCTATTGACATGCATAAAATACGATGAGCACCAATGGCATATTTGTGGCGATTTGAAAGTTGTTGCACTTTTACTTGGGCTGCAGCTAGGCTACACAAAGTTTTGCTGTTTTTTGTGTGAATGGGACAGTCGGGTAAAGACACTTCATTACACCAGACAAAACTGGCCTGTTCGTCAATTCCTAGAGCCAGGTCAAAAAAATGTACAGCATATGCCATTAGTAGATTCGAAAAAAAATTTATTACCACCACTGCATATCAAGTTGGGCCTAATGAAAAACTTTGTCAAGGCATTAGATAGAGATGGGTCAGCTTTTCAATACCTGCGTCAGAAATTTCCAAGTCTAAGTGAGGCAAAGGTTAAAGAAGGTATTTTTGTTGGGCCACAGATTCGAAATATTTTGAAAGATACACAGTTTGAAAACACTTTAACAGGTATTGAAAAAACTGCTTGGAATGATTTCCGGCTGGTGTTCACTAATTTCTTGGGAAATAGAAAAGCTGACAACTATAAAACCCTTGTCAAAAATATGCTGTCATCGTATCAAAAGATGGGCTGTAATATGTCTCTTAAGATACATTTCCGACACTCACACCTAGACTTTTTTCCTGACAATTACGGAGCCGTAAGTGATGAGCACGGCGAACGTTTTCATCTGGATATTTCAACAATGGGAAAAAGGTACCAGGGAAAGTGGAATCCTTCCATGCTTGCAGACTACTGTTGGACTCTTGGTAGAGATGCTGCAGAAACGATCCATAAAAGAACAGCAAAAAGACAGCGCATATAGTGATTCTTATAACTATATGAATCGTGTTACTTTTTTTAATATATCCTTAAAAATATAAAGTTTTTTTTTCTAAACCGCAACTAATTTTTTTATTTCATTGTCATTTTGGATTCAGCGCCCCAAAATTAACAAAGAAGTGCACTTTTCCCACAAGATACAATTAAAAAACTAAAATTTGTTGTCCAGTTGTCCATAATAATTATTATTGTGGATAAAGTATAAAGGTAATTCGAAATTTAAATCTTTTAAAATCAAAATACTCTATTTTTTGTGCATGACAAAATTTGTATTGTCTCCTGAAAAATTCAAATTGTGTTTCTGAAATGGCCGATTCAACTATCGAATGTTACTTTAAAATAAATGACACGTACCTTCAACATTTAAGCTATTCAGTCTGGGCAGGGTTTTCTTCAAATCAAAATCTAAGGTCTGCAACCTATTGTCTCCTAAGTCAATGTGCGACAGAGATGGAAGATTCTGGAACGTCTCCGGCGATATCGACTCTATTTGATTATGGTCCAACGATATCCTTTGCAAATAAGACATGTTCCTGAACAGCTCATCGTCCAAAATCTTGATGTGATTGTAACTCAATATGAGTATCCTCATCTTCACTGTCTCCCGAAAGACGTGTTTGTGCAGTTTCTTAATATAATTCCTAGCTAGATCTAACTCTATGAGCAGAGCCAACTGATAGAAGGCTTTTTGGTCAACGTATTCTATGCTGCAGTTCTGCAACTTCAGCTTATGGACATTGGACAAGTTCGCGTCCGCGAAGATCTTTTTGTCCAATCGGTAGATAGGGTTGTAGGAAAAGTCTATTTCTCGTATGAGACTGCTAAGGTCGTTGGGGATTGAATTGAAGTTTAGGTTCGTACAGTTGGCTGTTCTTTTGCCATTGGCCCATCTGCACGAGCACTTGTTGCACTTTTGGGTGAAGTCTTCTTCTTCTTCAGCCATTAGTGTGGCGGTGGTCCAGAGGAGGAAGAGGTAGATGCTTCTGAGATCCATCATGCGGCTTGAAGTTTGTTTCCTGGTATCTGCAACAATGGAAAAAAGCTTTAGAACATTTTTTTTTCAGAAAGTCATTATACAATGCCTAATTTAAATTTAAAGTGACTAGTCATAAGTGTCCATCTAGCACAGGCTAAATCTCTTTCATAGGATGATTTCTCTGAGCATAAGTCTGCAATGACTGAATTTTTACCCTCGAATGTACATTATACAGGGTGTTTCAGAAAGACGTACCAATATTTCTAGTGTAGAAAGTACGTAAAAAAATAACAAAAAGGTACCTATAAATATGGGTGTAAATATGTTCCCCTACCGAGATAAAGGGTGAAGTTTTATTTACGAAACTTGAAAAACATATCTACAGAGCAGGTAAAGATACTGAGTTAGGATTTCAGACGTTCAGTGAGCACATCAGCAATAATAACAGAGTTTCCCGGCCCAAACTAAACCAGCGACGTAGAAACTGGGGTACCTGGACCCCTGATAGGAAATGTTTTCTACGCCACTGCTCTTTTTGGAGAAAAGAAGTGCATCTTATAAAATATCATTCAATTTTACGTAAGTTTTTATTACTTAAAGTATTTTTGTCAGATCACTCGTTTTTGAGATATTTAGGTTTTAATATTTGAGCGGAAATTCTAAAATATTCTTATGAAATGGTTTAGCCTCCCCTATTCTGAAAACACTGTGAAGCGTGATACTGAAAGCACTATGAGACATGTGGTGAAAGCTATGGCGCTTCATTAAAACATTAATTGAATAATATGCGTGTACCATTCATTCAACTTTTCACGGGCACGCCACTGGTTTTGTCGGCATATTCATTTTTGTCTAGAGATAAAGAAGCTTCAAAACAAAGAAAACGTTTATTGTAAAAATAAATAAACCTAAGAACAATTAAATTTATGAGGACATAACATTGGCATCAGAAAATAAAGCTCCTAAGAGGATGTATATTATTGTGTCACGCTTTGTTCAAAACATGTTTTGAGATTACAAATAAATTGGTATTCTTCACTGCGAATGGTAGCAGTTACAACTTTGTCATTTTAATCACGATAGGAGAAGATCTCAAATTAGAGTTGCTGATCAAAACGTGAATATTGATCTAGTTACAAAACATAATATCAGGTAAAAGGTCGAGCATAACTGCGTGTAGACTGAAGTTATCAATTCAGAATTGTTTTGTAAGTAATTCAGTTTAATGAAAATCAGAGCGATAATACTTTAACTCATCATTGGGTCCAAAAATACACACTTTAAAAATACTCAACGCAGTATTGCTTTGGTACTGTTACCATGGATAGGCGTTGTTCTATACATCCGGAAAATTACTTCAAACTTATTTAGAAGCCCGTTGAAATAAACGGGAAAAACTCAACCCTTCCGACTGTTCCTAGTGGCGTACCACAGGGCTCTGTTTTAGGTCCCGTTCTGACCCTGAACCGTTATTAATGATCTGGATAGATCGTTGCCTGGGGCATTGCTTGTGCTTTTTGCAGATGACACTACAGCCACAATTTAAAAGAACAACGAAAACATTTGGCAGAGTAGATCTGCGAGACTACCTATCGACAAAATAGTAAAAAGACATCTATTTGATACTGGGACGAGAACTACGACCAAAAATTGGCGTAAACGCTCTTAAAGTTGCAGTTATTGGTAAGCGTTGTTCGTTCGATTTAAAGGTGCGTTCACAGTGAAAGTTGTCGAGTCCCTATTGGAAAACCCGATACCATCAGTTATGCCCGCGTGGCTGCTAAGGCCGGAGAAATTCTACGTCCAGTCCTTGTCAAGGTAGCAGATGATATTGCAGCTGAACAGTCAAAGTAATGTTTTTACATCAGATGTTTATAACGCGTATTCATTTAGCTGGATAGCGAAAACGCAAAATGAAACCCACAAACGAAGTTACAAATACGTTCATCTCACAACAGGTCGCCCCCAATAGATAATCAAATAATTAATAAGTAAGACATGACCAATACGATGATTTACAGCAGAAATACTCATCACGGTATGAAACGACGCCGACAAAATATGTTCGTTTCACAACAGGTCGCTTCCAATAGATAATCAAATAATTAATACGTAGCACATGGAGAATACGACTATTTACAACAAAAATACTCATCACGCCATGAAACGACGCCGACAATATAATATCATTAAAAGCTCATATTAAAGTTCCGCTATAGAAATCCACTATCGTTAACCGAACTAACACATGGCACACACTTTTTTCCGACCTTTTCCACATGAATAATATTGATCAAGATAACGAAATAACGAAATACTATAGGTATTTACGGACAATAGTTGCTTTGTGAATAACTGGGGAGTACGCCGATCATTAGGACCAAAAATGCATATTTTGAAAATACTCAACTCAGCCTTGCTTTTGTATTGCTAGAAGTCGGCATTTATTAATCAATGCAACTTGGTGCAAATTCAAGAAATAATTTCAACTTTTTTGCGACTTGTGGCATACCGTTAGAATCGGGATAAACTAGAGTACTTTTCAAAAGAATTCTAAGCACGTGAACGCTTTTAGTTTTTTTTTACCGAAATTCAAAATTGAGACTTACTTTTTTTGTTCTTCTTTGTAACCCTTTGTGAGTTTATAAATAAAAAACTACATGCTGCTGGCAAGTAACGTTGACTTTGTAAGATTGGTGCAACATCACCCATTAAGAAAAATTAATCATTAGGTGGACATACTCTTTATTTTTTTTATTTCACTTTGCGTATTACAATTTGTAGTTTTTACTAAAAAAAAATTAAAAAATCTACATAATTAATTCCGTTGGGCTAAAAACTGTTTGAGGGACCTGGGGTGATAGAAGAATGCCTCCTATGTCCGCTATTTCAATTTGTCCAACGATGCATCAAACACCCTGTATTATTAATAATAAGTAGATGGTAGATGGTCTCTGACTGTCGATCGCGGAGGTACCACACGGCGGATCCCCATGGGTGATTAGGCCTTAGGCCTTCGTGGTAGTTGAAGCATAAAAAAAGCAAATAAGTTCGTGTATGTAGTCTGTAGGAACCTATGTCTTTTCACTGAATAAACCTGATCAAATTTTTACGAAAAAAAAAATGACCACTAGTTTGTTTTCTGCCGCAACCGAATCGGACCACGTGTATACTGAAAGTCCTCTTACGGAATTTCTTTTAAAGTCATGAAGTTTGACAAAAATGCTTATAAAATACCCGTTTCTGAAATAATGTAACACTGCACCTATAAGGGTTGGACTAATTTCTTTTTAAGTCATGAAGTTTGACAAAAATACGTTAATCAATGCTTATAAAATACTTGTTTGAGAAACAATGTAACTCTGCACTCATAAGCATCGGATTTAATAATTCAGCGTTGTAGAGCTACACCCAAAAGGGAGTCATTCATCAATCAATTTCCACTGAAAGATTGTTGTAATAAAGGGTTGTCCAATAGGGACGCAGGAAAGTAAACGTCAATTTGACATAGACGCCATCTTTGTTTTCTGTCACCGACATGTCATTTTGTTAGTTGAATGTTTACCATTGATCGCTATGGAGTCGTATTCGATTGAAGACCGCATTAAAGTTATTCAAAAGCACTACAAAAATGGTGCAAAAATAAAAAACACGTTTCGCGCGCTTCGTGGTCGTAAATTCGAGGCAACAGGTTCTGTGGCAAATCTGCCAGGCTCTGGCCGGCCAAGGAGCGTTCGCACACCGGAAAATATTGGTGTTGTGAAGGAGAGTGTAAGAGACGATCCAAAACAATCAACAAAGCGTCGATTCCAAGAATTGGGCATTTCGAGAACCAGTTTGCTCCGCATTCTCCACAAGGATTTGAATGTACACGCCTACAAGATCCAATTGACGCAAGAGCTGCGTCGGGCCGACCATTTTTCGCGCCGAACGTTCTCAGATTGGCTCCTTGAACACCGCCAAATTGATGCCAATTTTTCATCAAAAATCATGTTCAGCGACGAAGCGCATTTCACTTTGAATGAGACGGTAAACAAGCAAAACTGCCGCATCTGGGCGAACGAAAATCCCCGTGAGTATCAAGAGCAGCCGATGCATCCTCAAAAAGTGACTGTGTGGTGTACATTGTGGTCAAAAGGCATCATCGGACCTTACTTTTTCGAAAATGCGGCCGGGGACGCCGTTACCGTCAATTCTGAGCGATATCACGTGATGATAGAGGACTATTGTTTGCCGCAACTTGAAGGAATGGATATGGACGATATTTATTTCCAACAAGACGGTGCAACATGCCACATAACCAACGTCAATATCCATCGATTGCAGTCCTTCTTCGGTGATCGCGTGATTTCGCGTAGTGGAAATGTGTCATGGCCACCAAGATCGTGCGATTTGACTCCCTTGGACTTTTTTTTATGGGGATATTTGAAAAGCAAAGTCTACGTCAACAAACCAGCCACCCTCCAAGAACTCAAAAACAACATCATTGCCGAGATAAATGCCATAGAACCGACCATGTTGCAAAATGTCATTGAAAATTTCGACCATCGCGTGGACGTCTGTAAATCCAGTCGTGGTGAACATTTGAGCGATATTATTTTTCATACATAAATGGTATAAATGAACCTTCAAAATAAAGTACCCAACTTGATTTGAATATCAATCTTTCTTGTTTTAATATGCGTTTACTTTCCTGCGTTCGTTTTGGACAACCCCATATAAACGTTAAGAGTTGAACCTTCTATAAAGCACGTCATTTAATGTTGTGGTCAATCAAAGAAGTACTTTTAGGATAAATTATAATACATCTTATAAGGCTATAGCGAATATTAATTTGTAGTTCGATAACAAATAAGGCGAACACACTTACACATCGAGTAATAATCTTTTCTGCAGAACCATGACAGCTTTTCCGAGAAGTATACTCATTTCACAGCAGGTGAGCTCCAACAAAGAGGGTAGATCAAACACCTCATAAATATCACATGACACTTATATGCTTTTTCATACGAACCACGATTCGAAACGGTTTAATATTTCACTCTTAATAAAGTTCA